GATTCCTAGACTTCCCGGCCTCCAGTGCACCAATCACGCTCTGGTTGTCGGAGCGAATGATCACGTGGAGGCCGCTCCAGCCTCTCAGCAGGGCTAGGCGTAGACCGAATTCTATTGCGACCATCTCGGCCCAGCCGATCTTCCGCGCTTCCGAGCGCCAGCCGGGCGCGAGCTTCCAGGCGTCCCATTCGCTGTTCAGGACGACGCCGACACCCCACGACGTGGAGGCGTCTACCCAGAAGTCACACTCGGTGATCTCTGGTGGGCGCTGCAGCGAACTCCCGCAGGGGCCCGCCTTCAGGGTGGTCCTCCAGAATTCGATGTCGCCTAGGACTTGGCTGTTCGGCGTCCGCCGCGAGAAGGCCGAGGCGGCCAGTGGGAATGAGGACGAGAACTTTGATATGGCTACGAGTTTAGAGCGCCCGTCCGGAATGGCCAGGCTGCAATGGACGAGGGTCCCCATGACCCGCTCGGCTTCACGCTGTGTGAAGGTGCTTCCGGCGACCCACGGATCGAGCTTGATGACGTATCGAGCCCGTTTGTCTTCGGGGACCGAGACCCATTTGCGCTCGAGGTCCCAGTCGAAGCCGAGGTAGCGGAAGGTTGGCGCGAAATCCTTGGTCTTCGACGGCTTCCACGGCCAGCCCAGCCGCTCCGCCAGCCGGTGTACCTCGACTAAGCTATATGCGAATTCCGGAGGTCGGCCTTCGCTCGCGCGGATGGGGTAGCGGACGAATGCGAAGTCGTCTACCCACTTCTTGAGGGCGTCGACACCGGTTTTCAAATATACTGCTGCCATGCAGTCAGCGACCCTGCCCCATACCCCTGGAGAACTTGCCGGTCCGAAGGGCGCGCACGAGTCGATCCAGAATTGATCTCGCCACTGGACCACGAAGTGTGGTTGCTGGTCCGGGCGGATGGGGATGCAGCGAAAGGCGGAATCAACGTCGAGTGTGGCCACCTGCGTGCCCGGCGGGGCATCCATGACGAGAACTGCCATCTCCGAAAAGGTGCCCCACTCGCATGGGAACGAGTCGGAGTCGATAGCGGCGTTCACCGATGCGATGGCGGGATCGTTGCGTGGGTACGAGAAATCTTGTATCATCCGCAATTCGGCGGTCCCGGCCTTTGGTACCGCGCCTAAGGGGGAGGTACGGAATGGGCCGATCAGCGTCTCGAGCCTCTCGCGGTCGAAGGGGCCTGTGTAGCGACGAGCTGCGCGTTCTTTGTGAATATACGAGTCGATTGCTTCCACGTTCGACAGTGAGGATTTATGATTAGGTGGCGTGTAAGTGATATGTACAGGGGACGGAATGCCCATATCGAATCCGATCCGCATGCCTAAGGGGACGTCCGAGAAGGTATCTAACAAACCGAGCGAGTCAAGCAGCGACTCCCATTCATTTGGTTTGAACGGGGTCGTCACGGCTAGTGCTAGCGATGAAACAGAGGCTTGCGGAGTGGGCGTCTCCGCAGAGGGTGCAGCGGTGCTCTCCATGTGCGCAGGTGCCTGTGGCCGAGCAGCCCCTCTGCATGTTAAAGTGGAAGCAGTACCTCTTACCGGACTTGTCGGCGTAGCCCCCGTCTTGCGTCCTCGCGATGAACATGGGACTCCCGTTGGCAAGAGTCTTCGCGAAGCACTCCTTCGTGCGGTGGGAGAAGCGTCCGCAGAGAAAGCAGCTCCGAAAGGAACTGCCGTTCTGGTCGGAAACTCGGCGTCTTGTCGAGACCGGGTTCCGCGATCCCCGTGAGGCCGACGATGCTCCTGCGGGCTCCCGCCTGCGGTTGGCCAGCGCGAGCTGGGCCTGTTGCGGTTGCGGCTGGAGTACTCGCCTCCCGAGGTGAGCGATATAGAGGTCGTCCCAGATCGCGCGATGGTGTTCGCGTGGATCGATGGGGGTATTGAGCCGGCGTCTGCGAATTTCGATGTCGTACGCGAGCCAGACCGGCCAGACGTTTTCGCTGCTGACGCCGCGGCGCAAGCGAATGTTCTCGTGATGGGTGTGCCAGTCCAGGTATTCGTGAGGGAGGTACTCTTCGAACAACTGGAGGTAACGTTGCCACGCTTGGAGCCACTCGGCGAACGAAAGCTGCATCTCGCCTTCCGGCGAGAGCGGTTGCTGGACTGGGACTAGGCCCCCGGATTCTATCTGCCACAGATTCACCAGGTTCGCGTTCGTGTCGATGCCTTGAGCCATGCAGGCGGCGTCCGTGAGGTGATGCAGCGGTACGTGCCTCCTGTGTCCCCTCTCGAAGATGTCGCAAATCTGCTGAGGGATGACGTAGTAGTTGACGTCTGCTACAACCCCGGCGACGCGTGCCGGACGGCCTCGCGATGATAACGGGGTTGGGGATGCGTGTACAGTCGGGAACTCGTCGACGTGACGGGCCTGTTGACGGGGGGCCGCCCTGGGTGCCGTGGACGAAAGACGAGGGTGTCGTGCGGCCCCGCGCCCTGGGCGGGGTTGGTCGCCCGGGTCCTCCAGCTCATCCGGCTCCGGGCTAGGCGACTCCGACCCGAATTCGCGGTTGGTGCTCTGACGCCCTAGGTTTTCTGTGAGTCCACAGGACCGGTAGCAGGTGTGTGCCAAGGAAGGGGCTAGCAAGAATGTATGGCTCGAGCCGTAGCAAGAATATGGAGGCGTGTAGCAAGACGCGAGCAAGGTGATAATTTACATCCGGCGAGGAGGCCGGGAAAGCAAGGAAGGAGGCATGTTAAAGAACTCAGTGAGGTGTATTGCTCACCTGATGATGTCGGGGGAGGGAGCGGTTGTGTCTCTGCCCGCGCCCGCGCCGGGCGAAGTGATTCTCTCCCCCTGCTCTCCGAGCGTGTCTGCAGCCTTTGCGAGCTCGTACGTTGGCTAGGAGTCCGCGAGTGAGAGCGCGTGGACACGGACGGGAGGCTTTGCTCTTGGGTGTCGGCTAAGCCTTGCCATTCCGAGTCCTCGTCTTCTGTGTCCTGGACGCGACCTTGGAGGTATTCGTTCTTCTCCCTGTCTGTGTAAAGGGCGGTGAACGACGGGTGATCGATGAGTTCGTCCTTGCGGTCGAGCAAGGCTTGCTTCGTCCGTGCCTTGAGGTCGTGGACGTTCCCTCCGGGGTCGACGCCGAGGGCTTCCGCCAGTTCGACCAGCGCTGCCCGGTTGAGCCGATAGTGGGGTTTGTTGAAGGGGTTGTCCCGCGGGGCCCACGGAGGCATGATGGCTAGTGTCGAGTCGATGATACGCTGAAGCTACTACTCGCTGTCTCTAGCTGCTAGTGGGTTCTGAGGGAGAGAGGCGCGACACGCGTCGGAGTTTCAAAGTTCCTCCCTCGAGCCCAAGATGGCGCACCGAGCTTCGCTCGGTGCTCGCTTTTTGACTACCAACACGATCTAGTTTCTGGGTAGATTAGCAAAGAATTGATAATTTTGAACCATCAATCGAAATTGCATTGATGGTACATCCATAGTACTCTTTCTGGAAGAAGGGATAGACGCGCTTGTTTGGGCGGGGTTCTCCGCTTGCGCTTGCGGTCAGCGGGATCCTATTTTGGGAAAGGCATCTAGGCAGAAGTCCAGTCATCCGCGTCGAACTCGTTTCTCAATTTCGATAACTCTCACGTCCCATCCTGCCAGCTCTAAACTCTCCGAGCCGTCCGATATTACGAATTCTCATTGAAACGCGGTGGTGAACGGTATACGTCGACTACGTCGGAGTGTAACCGTGCGCGAAAGGAAAGTAGTCCCCTCTGCTTCCCTACTTCTTCATGCCCCGTAGCTGCTTAGCTTCTCGGTCCTGGTGAAGCCGCCTGCAGGCGTCGTCGGCAGGTGCCTTCAACCACTCATTGAATGCTTTCTCCGGCAAGTCCAGGTTTTGCATGAAGCGCTCTGCGAATACGTTCAACAACTCCGTGTTTTCTCGCGCTCGGTCCGCCTCTATGTCTTCCCGGGATTTGCTAGCTATTACCGTTGTTGTCCTACGGTGCCTCGTCAGGATGTCCCGCGACGCCTCGTAAGACACGGCAGAGGTCCATAACGCGAGGTCCATCGCCAAAAGCCACGGCTGTCGCGATCCGTACACAATGTGCGCGACGTCTGTCACCGTCTTCCATGATGACAAGAATTTTAGCTTCTTGCCGCGGCAATCCTCGTAATCAGCCGTGTACCAGTCGACCGCCGGTAGGGTTTCGAGTGTCTCGTCGTTGGTAAAGCCGAGGTATATGATGACCCAAGCGAATGACTCCACGTCGTGACGGTAAAGACGCTCGATCTTCCCTTCCCAATATTCGTCGCAGAGTAGTTCCAGTGCCATGAAAGGCACTGTCCCTGTCCTCTCCGTGCCCTGCGGTGCAGACTCCTCGTTCTTGTCGCGGATCCGAGAGAGGTCAAAGTCCCGAAGGACGCCGCCGAGAGTGTCCGGATCCACGGCTAGATTATTTAGACTGATGTCCCCGTGTTCGATCGCATGAGAGGAGTCACCCTGCCACAGCAGGTGGTGACCTGTTTGATATCAGAAGGACGAAGCCACCGACGTCACGAAACTTCCTCACATTTCATGATTTGCCACAGGGCCTTCAGGAGCTGTTTGCCGGTGAGATATTGTATGGGCTTCAGCCTCTTCTCGAAGACGACGCGCAACACGCGCGGAGCCCCATGCGCGGAATCATCCGACAGCGCTTCCCCCTCCTGCCCGCCCTGCGGGCATCGGCGCAACCTCGAACGGATCCGGTCCGTAGAAAACTCGTGGTAATCCCGATACGCGACCACCGTCGGTAGATGTTTCACGACCTCCGGGTTGTCCTGGCCGATCTCGTACGCCTTCCTCACCACGTCCACCTCGCTTGGTCTTTGCGTTTGGGGAAACGACCACTTGGCGACGTAGGCGACGCCCTCGGCGTCCGGATCCTCCGCTTCGACGACCGTGGTTCGACGACCCTTCAACACCGCTCGATCCGAGGCGAAAACCCGACGCGAAGGATAGACCCTCATGACCTTTTCGTCGCCCTCGTCGCCGAATTTGCGCGCCGTGACCGTGAAGAAATCCAGCGCTTGGACGGCCCGGCTTCGGGTGTTGCGACCGTGATCCACCTTAGGTGCCATTTCTGACTTCGGAACGACGGTGTGCTCGGCGAGGTCACGTTGAGCCCTCGAATTGACCTCGGGAGGTATGCCCCAATGGGTAAGGTCAAATCGCTGGTACATCATGAGCAGAAGGATATAGATGGGGGTGTGCGCGACGATGCTGAAGCCTTGCGACTGGATGGCGCCTGAGCTGTCGAAGTACCAAAGCCAGACCCAATGATCTATGGGGAGATGAGCGTCTCCTTCGGCGTCCACGAATGACGGAAAACGTGCCTTGTACGACCGCCCCGATCGCGTGCGTGCGAATGAGCCCTCGCACGGACAGCATCTCAGACGCGTACACGGCCAATTGAACCATGGGCGGTTGCCGGTCGTTCTCGCCCCCAGATTGCCCGGCGCTTTCTGCGGGGGGCGGATCGACGGCTCTGCCAGGCGTAGAACCTTTGGCCTCGATACCGCCGTCGACTGCGGACCACTTGCGCTTCTGGCCTGTTGCTGGTCGTCAGTCAAGCAGGAGTCCTGTGGAGTCGTCGAACCCACCCGAAGAAGGCAACGACGGCGCCAAAGGAGGGACTTTGTGAGTCAGAGGGCCCAACTCCGCAGGGGCCGCGAACGGTACGGATTGACCGGGTTTGTAGTTTTGGACATCCGACCTGGTCTTGTCGTCGAATTTGGTTTTCTTCAGCTCGTTCACGGTCAGCACTTCATCCCAAACGACACTGATCTTGAGGTTGTCACCGTCGTCCCATGAATGCGTGATCCAATCCTTGGCCTGCTTCCAATCCTTGGCCTGCCTTCCCTGCGACAGTATACCTCTCCAGGTGATGACCACCACGTCGGGCTTCCGATACGATCTGTGAACCTGACCGCGATCTCCAACGATCGTCTTCAAGTCGTGGCAGACGAAGAGTATGTCCAGGCCAGAAAGCGGCTGTAGATGCTGGGCCAAGGCCGGGGGCATCTCGCGTAATCGTTCGAGGACGCCGTTTCCGAGCTCTATATACGGCCTGTACATGTCGTACTCCGATCCGCCGCCGAGAACATGTTTGCTGTGCGCAGGTCATCACGGGAGACGCAAAGAAGGCGGCTCGCGAATGCTCACAAATCGTCGACGAGGCCCTTGATATTTTTATCCTTGGCTATCTCGGACGCCCATTCGCGACACTGGTCCATCGGGGACGGTTGACCTGCTTCTGGTGGATTCCCGACGATGCCGAAGAAGTAATCCAACATGCTCTCGAGCGAGCACTGTGCGTGATGGAGGAGGTCGCTCGATACCCCTCGTCCGATGTCCGTCAGTCTATCGAGATCCGTCAACGGTGAGCGATTTTACAAACTCAGAGTCGATACGAGACTTTGCTTCGAATGCGCCGATTGGCCTTGCGATTCTTTCGAAGTGCCATTGTTGGATGGCGTAGCTTTCAGTGATTGACCCGGCGCGTCCGCTGACCGCGGTGGGGTAGCAGGTTGAGATGGAGGAACCTTCGGCGTCCTATGTGGAATCTCGAGAGGCGGGGTGGTGGTGTCTGACGACGGAGGATCCTGAGTATCCATGTGACCGTGCGGCATGAGGTTGTTGGCCGGATTTACTCGAGGCAGCGCGGTCGGCGTAGCTTCCGATACGAGCGCCGACAGATGGCAGAGAGAGATATGGTGCGACAGTGGTGACAGGCGGGCGACGACGTTTGGTAGAGAGAAGTGATAATTCATGGAATCGGTTCGCGACACACGGTGTAGCCGTGGCGCGCCACATACCACGTGGGATTAAGGTGCCGGGTCCGACTCCCTTTTTCTTTTCTATGCCACTTTTATCACCACAAAAACAGTAGATACATACACGATCACCGAATATTTTACGATATAGCCAGAGACGAACGAACGTGATGTATACAATTAAGGGTAAAAACATGACGTAGCGCGACAACTGCACAGTAGCTTCCCATGTCCGATTGCAAGATCCGGACGGCTACCAAGCATCACCCACATCAGACCGCTGAGCATGGACTAGTACTCGTGCGCGTTGACTTCCGCTTCCAACAGGTGCGAAAGTTTGATGTTGACGGCCATCGGAGTGCCGACTGGATGACATTCCGCAAGTTCGTGGCGGGCGAGCAGATCTTCGATGTAGCGATGCTGCGACAAAGTGATCATGCGCCGCGCGGGGTCCCGTTTCACCTCCATGTTGAGGACCCAATAACCGTCGCCCGATCCAGCGTCGGTTATCTCCCATTTGACAGATGACTTGAATTCTAGGATGGCAGCGATGTTGTTGCCGAATATGAGCATATCGTCGATGTAGACCGCGACGATGAGTAAGATGTCACCGTCTCGCTTCCAGAAAACACTGTGGTTGGCTTCAGAGCAGGTGAAGCCTTCGGCCTCGAATTCAGAGCGGAGATGGTTATACCACTCGCGGCTGGCCTGCTTGAGTCCATAGAGGGACTTTTTGAGGAGCCATACCTTGCCGTGTTTGTCTGAGAAACCAGCTGGAGCCTCAATGGATATCTCTTTGGTGAGGTGACCGTGAAGGAACGCTGTCTTGACGTCGATTCGGTGTATCTCAAGATTGAGTTCAGTGGCGAGAGCGAGGAGAGCGCGGAGGGTTGAAAACTTGACTACAGGCGCGAAAGTTTCGTCGTAATCAACTCCCTCGATTTGCGAGAAGCCCTTTGCTAACGAACCGGGCCTTGTATCGAATAACTTCCCCATCAGGTCCACGCTTGTAGGTGAAAACCCACTTCGACTTGATGACCTGGCGGTTGTGCGGGCGTTCGACGAGACCATAGACGTTGAGTTTGACAAACGATGCGAGCTCTTCCGCACATGCTGCCTTCCAATTGACTGCATCTGGCCGCTTGGTGGCTTCCTCGTAGGTGAGTGGTTTTCGTCTGATTCCGTATCGTCATCTTCATCCTCGACTTCCGCCAGGGGTGGCATCTCGTAGTCAGCATCCGATAATCCACGCGTGCCAGAGGGGTCCTGGTTCTGAAGTTGCACGGCGCTGGTAGGAAGAGACTGCATAGCGGGCGTCATTATCGCGGACTGGCGCTGTGCGAGTGCGCGTTGAACGGCGTAAAGATTGCGCTGGTGGAATGACCGGCATTCGGGCACGGTTTTCGGGGTGGCCTTCTCGCCCGATGGCAAACGCATTGCTTCGGGTGGTGACGACCATTCGGTGCTAGTCTGGGATGTAGAAGAGACATAGGGCTGTTCTCATGTCTTTGCCGGCGCTGCATTGGCAATGAACCGTGTCAACTCGACAAGCTTTATTCAGAAAAACAGCAGCCACGATAATATATTTCATACAACGAGGGTAGTGGCGATACGTAAGCAGCTTCGGAGCCGGGGAAAACCAATGGATACAATGTAGTGGGGATAATGCAGTCCGGAATCTACGGTCGACCGAGATATCGGCTCTTTGGGGCATTGTGGTTGGAGAGAAAGATGGGAGCGATTAAAGGATGCGCCGACGCACGTACGTAGGCGCGTCGGGCTGGCGGCAAATTCGACCGCCGATAGAGGAGTAAAGGACGAAGGGGGAGAGAGAGTTGGAACGAGTGATTAGGGCCCGAGCTCGGACGGGCCGGCTGGGGGGTCGGAGACGAGACGCGACGGGAAATGGATACAGTGAGCACTGAGTGTTGACGGATATCGAGTACGAAATCGAGCCGGGAGGGACCGCTCGGGGGTATTTGCGACAGAGAAAAAAAATTCGGAAAGGGGGAAGATCGGGATTGAACCGGTGTGCTTTGTTGTGAGACAGCCGAGGGGTTTTTTTCTTTTTGCAGGCTGCAGGGCGGCTCGAAACCATTTTCGCCCTCAGGCAAAGTCGGCAAAGCAGGAGGCGGCGTCGAGGGAGACGACGTCGTCGTCGCGGACCAGGCCCGGTATCTCGTCCGCGGGCGGGTACGGCAGGTGGAGGAAGTGGCGCGTGTCCTCGACGCCGGACGTGTGCGGGATGATCGGCGCGCGGATCTCGCGGCGCTCGAGCGCGTCCCAGTCGACGCCGCGGAACCAGGCGTGGTCGAGCACGTCCTGCGCCTCGCCGTTGAGGTTTCCCAACCTCTTCGACTTGTCCGGCTCGAGCAGCGCGCGGACGAACTCGCGCGTGAGCGGGTCCATCTCGCGCGGGAAGTGGACGCGGCCGCGGAGGATCTTGTCGTAGATGCCGTAGGCGGTCTCGTCGAAGAAGGGCGGGTAGCCGACCATCATCTCGTACGCGAGCACGCCCGCCGCCCACCAGTCCGCGGCCTTGCCGTGCCCGTCCGACTGGATGATCTCCGGCGCGAGGTACTCGGGGGTGCCGCAGAGCGTCCAGGTGCGGTCGTCGACGATCTTGGCGAAGCCAAAGTCGGTGAGGCGGACGTAGCCGCGCGCGTCGAGGAGGAGGTTCTCCGGCTTGAGGTCGCGGTAGACGACGTTGAAGGAGTGGAGGTACTTGAGCGCGAGCGCGATGGTGGCGAGGTAGAAGCGGGCAACGTCGGGCGTGAAGCGCTGCGCGCGCCGGAGGTGGGTGAAGAGCTCACCGCCGGGGACGTAGGAGAGCAGCATGTAGATGTTCAGGCTGTCCTGAAAGGTGGCGTAGAGGTCGACGACGAACGGGTGTCGGACGCGGGAGAGGATGTAGCGCTCGTTCTTGACGTGGTCGACCTGTCGGAGCCGGACGATCTCCGTTTTGCGGAGCACCTTGAGCGCGAAGTAGTTTTGCGCGCCGGGGACGCCGCCGCGGTGCCGGACGAGGAGAACGCGGCCGAAGGTGCCCGTCCCTGGAGCATACACGCGGGTCAGCTTACTCGCCATGGTGTGGGAAACGACATACCCAAGGTGCCCTTGACCTCAAAGTCGGTGAGCTTAAGCACGCCGGGTTTCGAGAGGCGCGACTGCTCGTGCTCGAGGTAGCGCAGCGGTGGCTTAGGTGCCGGTGCGTCTTCGTCTTCACCGTCCATGCGCACGTCCGCGTCCGCGTGCTCCCGCCCGTATTTACGCACGGACACGGGGCGGTGCACGGGACTGTCGTCCGACGAGGCTGGGCGAGGCTCGTGGATGTGAGCGGGGATCGTGCGTTCCGGACCGCTGTAACGTGGCTCTGCGTCGACGACGATCGCGCCGTCGTCAAGGTCCGAGTCGTCCTCGTTGTCGCTGTGGCCGGGCGAGATGGGTGGCGAGGGGAGGCCGTCGGAGAGCATCGCCTCGGAGCCGCGCCGGGAGGGCGGTTGTGGTTGCGGGGGGAGGAGCGAACGCGGGTCGGCGGGGTGGGAGAGAGCCGGGAGGGAGAGCGAGGAGGAGCGCGAAGGGTTCATGGTGGCGATTGGGGCACTGGGTGATTGATCCGACAAGAGGGGGTCGACGCAGCAGGACGTGGGGGTGCTACTGCTATGAAGTATGAAGGCGAATGAGCAGGAGGTATGCAGTGAACGTACGACGGATGACGCACCCGAAGTTCAGATAGAGGCGGACCCGGCGTTCAGATTAGGCCAAGCCAAAGACCGATGGTGGCGGGTTGGGTACTGGTGACTACGGGGCGCCGACGCAACTCTCGGGCGTGTCGGGAACGCGATAATGATGGATTTGCCACCGTAAGCAGAGCCCGAACGCGGTGCTGGACGGATGGGGGGAGAGCCGCAGTTGGCGGTCACGTCACTCCGAGGAGGGCAGCTTGAGCGCGAATAGTCCCGCCTGCGAGAGCACCTCTCCCGCGCGCTGCGGATGGCGACCAAGGCTGGAGTCGGGACGTAGTGGTCGAGGAGGAAGGAGGGCGGAAGGGAGAGGCGGGTGTGTGTGTGAGATCGCGCACGGGGAGGCGGGGCAGATATCCTCGGGCTCATGTGCATGGGAAGCTGCGGTCTGGCGCCTCTCCCGAAGAACGCTCGATCATCACCTCAGCCACCCCTTTGGCAGACCCTAGTAAGGCGGAATCTCCCTGCGCGAAAGTCGTCCTTTGGAGGCCTCGCCGGGGCGGTACGTTCCAATTTGTTGGTACTTCCTGTCCTACCCGCTGTCCAGGCCATCCGCCGCTGGGATGTCCCGCTTTGTGCCCGGGTACATACCATGCTACCAGTGCTACGGGATCGTGAACCCACTACCTGATGCGCACTCAGCTTCGAGATTAGGATATGTAACGATGGGCATGCGCGGCAGGCGTATGCACATTCATAAACGGTAACACACGCGCTGCACGATATCCTATTTACCGCCCGAGAGGTCTTAGAGTCATACTAGCACCCGCTGCTGGGACGCTAGCACCAGGTAGGTAGGTCATATTGTGGCGCACATGGCTTGCCTCCGCTCCATCCGCCGTCCCCCCTCCAATTTCTTCAAAAAACTGATGGATATAACCTGAATCTATGAGTCAATCATCGCCAGCCGCCGTGGAGGCGAAATATGTGCATATGCAAAGCATACCGGCCAGTCAATCGCCACGCAACGCTCGCCGGCATAGCAGGGGGCGTCCAGCCCTGGCTTTGCATTCTCGGTCCGCAACCGCTTGCTGGTACGTACCGTTCCTGGGATCTCCTTTGAAATCGTGCAGGGGTCCTTCATGAGATCTGATTTTTGCTTGCTAGGAGTGTGCCTTCGACCCGTGGGTCTTACCCATATTCGACGTTTCGGGATGTTAGGTCATCCTCGATCGTATGGGCCGTCGTCCCATGCACTGTTGTACGTACCC